GTATATTTATGGTAGATGATATTGGTAATAAAATGAACGTGACAGGGTAGAATAGCTGGTTTCGAGTAATGCACGACCGTAGCGCTGTTCAACCAAACATAATTTGCCCGGTAAATGCGACTGCCTGCGGGAAGTCAACTTCGTCGACGGGCCAATGCAATGGCCGAAGTTGGAGGCGGCGGGTAGGAGAATCTTGGAGCCGTCCTTGGCTGCACTCTGGATGACCTCCCCGACCAGTATGGACGCCTTTCCAGTAGAAATAATGCAAGAAATTCTTCAACACTTTAGAACAGACTATATTTCACCAACTATAGGCGAAGATGCCGTCTGGAAGCTGCCCAAAAAAATGTCCAGTTCTTGGTCTGATAATAGGCACAGAAGGGGCGGCAACTATGCTTCAGAGATCATACCAGTACCTAATACGGCTTCTCTTATACATTATAAAGATGTCCTTCCTTTGAGATTGTAAGTGGTATCATTGGCCACTCACGAAAGGCAGATAATGACATTTAACTAGAGTCAATCGACTCTTCAATGAAACATGCACTCCTTTCCTATATCAAGAGCTCGATATATTTGATCGAAGGGACGAGATTGACTGCGACATTGCAACTCGATACGGAAAATACGTCAAAGTTTTGCGCATCAATCTCGAGATCAATGGATCTGAGTCTCACAAAGGGGGGTTGATACAAATTCTATTGCTGTGCAGTAATATACAATCTATTGGTCTATACTAACGAGGCTTTCTCGGTCTCGATGCCCAACCTCCGCTGGTTGTTGAGCTGTTGTCCGCCATTCAGGACCGAGGACTTCGATCTATCGGATTTTATTCCCCGACAAGCTATAGCCATCCATCAACACCGCTGTATAGCGGGGATCAATATCTGTTCTATGAAATGGCAAGGTCTGATCAAGCCAAACTCTTAAAGGCATTGGATGTATATTTTGGTGATATACCAAATGACATTTACGCGCTTATTCGTACTCTATTTATAGGTCTAGAATATCTAACAATTCGTGGATCATTCGGTGGGTTCGTTGGGCCGCTCTGGATTGACACAAACAATTCCTATTGGGGAGCCTATTCTAACCTTACCAGACTGCAGCTGATCGATTGTTCAAACGTTTATACGCTTACTATTCCAGCCTTCATTCGTCACTTCCCTTCTCTAGAGTACCTCCTGATATCCGCTTGCCCATATCCCTGGAGGACAGAACATGGACGAGCGAAGGGATGGAGCTCACTATCAGATGGATGGTGGAATATAAGAAAACCACTCAAAGCGATGCATATCGAGTGCATGCTAAAGTGGCAGTTACTAGCTATG